ACGCCACTAGCCATCACCTTCAGCCCCCAACTAAAACCTCCCCAACGCATCATCAAGGATCTACAACCTATCCTGAAGGACGACCCATCACTCTCACAGATCTTGGGAGACAGGCCAGTCCTTGCTTCCAGACAGCCCCAAAACCTGAAGCAAATACTCACCAGCAATCACACACTACACAACAGAACCACTAACCCAGGAACCTATCCTTGCAACAAAGCCCGTTGCCAACTGTGTCCACATATCTATTCGGGGGACACCACCATAGGGCCTAATCACATCAGCCACACTATCAGAGGCTCGTTCACCTGCACATCTACCAATGTGATATATGCCATCATGTGCCAGCAATGCCCCTCTTCTGACCTAAATATCTGTGAATCTATGAATCTATGTACATTGGCCAAACTGGCCAGTCTCTACGTAAAAGAATAAATGGACACAAATCAGATGTCAAGAATTATAACATTCAAAAACCAGTCGGAGAACGCTTCAATCTCTTTGGTCACTTGATTACAGAACTAAAGGTGGCAATTCTTCAACAAAAAAACTTCAAAAACAGACTCCAACAAGAAACTGCTGAATTGGAATTAATTTGCAAGCTGGATACAATTAACTTAGGCTTGAATAAAGACTGGGAGTGGATGTGTCATTACACAAAGTAAAACTATTTCCCCATGTTTATCCCCCCCCTCCCCGCCCAAACTGTTCCTCAGACATTCTTGTCAACTGCTGGAAATGGCCCACCTTGATTATCACTACAAAAGGTCACCCCCCACCCCACCCGCTCTCCTGCTGGTAATAGCTCACCTTAGCTGATCACTCTCCTTACAGTGTGTATGGTAACACCCATTGTTTCATGTTCTCTGTGTATATATATCTCCCCACTGTATTTTCCACTGAATGCATTCGATGAAGTGAGCTGTAGCTCATGAAAGCTTATGCTCAAATAAATTTGTTAGTCTCTAAGGTGCCACATGTACTCCTTTTCTTTTTGCGGATACAGACTAACACGGCTGCTACTCTGATATAAATATACTCACATTTATAGACATGTGACTTGCCCAGGTGGCTACAGACTTCATCTTGTTGCTGTGACTTTGCACAGAAGAACAAAGGAGTTTCTGCCCACAAGAGAGAGAATATAAAAGCCCTGGAAGCCTCTCCATTTTGTCTTCAGCTGCCTTAAGAGATGGCTTCTCCACCCCAAAGAAATGCCTGAAAGAAACTGGAACAAAGGACAGTAACTACAGGGGTGTGCGTGATTACTGGACCCAGACTAGGAAGGAGTCCAGTCTGTGAAAGAAGCTTATTGGAACATTTCTGGGAGTGAGATTTCATCTGTAATTAGTTTCTTAATGTATTAGGCTTAGACTTGTGTGTTTTTGTTTTATTTTGCTTAGTAACTTACTTTGTTCTATCTGTTATTACTTGAAACTACTTAAATTCTACTTATTATACTTAATAAAATCACTTATTTATTAGTAAACTCAGAATAAGTGATTAATACCTGGGGGAGCAAACAGCTGTGCATATCTCTCTACCAATGTTATAGAAGGCAGACAATTTATGAATTTACCCTGTATAAGCTTTATACAGGATAAAACAGATTTATTTGGGGTTTGGATGGATCCCATTGGGAACTGGGTGCCTGGATGCTGGAGAAAGGTGACCTACTGAGCAGTTTTTGGTTAAAGTCTGCAGCTTTGGGGGCGTGGTTCAGACCCTGGGTCTGTGTTGCAGCCAGCTGGTATGTCTGGCTCAACAAGACAGGGATCTGAAGTCCCAAGCTGGCAGAGAAAACGGGCTCAGAGGTAGTCTCAGCACATCCGGTGACAGTCCCAAAGGGGTCTCTGTGACCAAACCCGTCACACAACCCTTAAACATTCAATGATATCTGGAAGGTCTCCCATTCCAGAGAGGGTACAGTAACATTAAGGATAGTTACGTATGGTGATTTATTGTTTAATACTGTAAGAAGGCCCTACAGTGCTCCATGTTTTCATTGAAACAGGAAAATATATTTTAACTAGTTAAAATTGGTGGGGCTCCAGCTGTGAGCCCTGTGCTGGGCTGATAGCTTGGGGGCAGGGCAGCTGTCTGCCCCACTCTGGGCTCAGTTCCACAGCGGGGAGGCTACCAGCAGTGAAACTGACATTCACGGCTCCAGCTGTGAGCCCCCACTGATGACAGAATGACAGCCAACAGCCAATGTAAGTAACGCAGTGTTACACGGACACTGCATCACCCTAAGTACACCAACATAAGTGCTACACCTCTTGTGGAGATGGAGTTGTCATGTTGGTGGAGCAGGCCACTGACTTTGGCAGAAGCCGCATTCTAGTGGAGACACAGACATAATTAGGTTGACCTGACTCTGTAAACCAAGCCTTAACCATCCAGAGCAGGTGGCTACCCAGCCTCCTTTGAAAACCTGCACTAAAGTGCTTCCACGACCTCCTGAAGCCTCTGTTACATTGTCCTATTGTTCTCATCCTTGAGTGAGAACCAGACAACATCCCCACCTCCGCTGGCTTCAGCTAACTCCCGAGCATCCTGCAGCTGGAGGTTCCCGCTCTCTGTCACTGCCTCCATACTGTGCCAGTTTCCTCCCTGTGATTTCTTGCCTCTTCCCTAACTTCCTCCTCTGACCGTCTGCCTAACGAGAGTCCGGCTCACATAGTAGCCAGGACAACTCCACCCTCCCAGCACTGCCAGACCAGGAAGGCAAGCTCTACACAATGGGACCAACTCCCCTCCCACTCACCCTGGTATAAATCAGGTGTGAACCCACTGGGAGTCAATGGGGCTGGTTCCTGTCACTGACCAGGGTATAAATTGGGTGTAACCTCACTGGGAGTCACCAGGGCTGGTTCCCATCTCACTCACTGTGATGTAAATCAGGTATAACCCCACTGGAGTCACCAGGGCAATTTCCCTCTCACTCATGCCAGCATAAATCGGGAGTAACCTGGCGGGAGTCAGTGGAGCTGCTCCAGTGAGTGAGAGAAGAAACAGCCATGATGCTTTTACCCAATTATGGGAAGTCTGCCAGGTCGCAGTGGCTAATGGTGGAGAATGTTGGATGTATTGGGGCAGTTCTAGGTTTTCACACATGTTGAAGCTGTATCACTGCATGAAGCAGAGATCGCTCTGTGTTTACTGAGGCAAACAGCCAGTGGACCAAATGCTCTAGGTGATGAACAGTGTTGAAATGAAGAGAAAAGCTAATAAGATGATATCAGATATGCTCTTCTGGTCAGTGCGAATGTTCATGATGCTAGTTCAGGACTTCATATTAAACTCACACAGATGCTGCAGTATTCCTCTGGGAAATATGCTCAAACCACTGTTCAACCAGAAGGCAGCAGTTGCAACACCAGTGCCACATTGAGGGGCAAAAATAGTGCACTTTTGAACGAGTATTTTACAAGCCTCAAACATGTTGCCACCACTGCCCAGACTTTTTTATTTTGAAAATACAGTCAGCTTTCCAGGAAGTTGTGTGCTGCGCCGCCGTGCCCGTGATTCTACAGCCACTCAATCACAAGCAGAGAGAAAGAAGCTGCATTTTGCTATCATCTGCTATTTTTCTCTCTCCCAACTGTGTGTGCATTTGTTTTGTCATAAGAGGAAACAGTATCAGTTTGTGTCAACAGCTACTCAGAGGCTACAACTGACTTTGGGCCATAATACTAGTACTAAAAGTTTGTTCTATAGAAGAGTCCACTCAGTCTAGGGGATTGGGAATGAGGGAAACTGCCCATATGAGGTTTTACCTCACCTTTTACATGTCAAATGCTTTAAGGTCAAGATTTTCAAAACTGCCTAAAGGTTCTGGAGGCCCAACTCCTATTAAATTAAATGGGACTGGGGCATCCAAATACTCTGTGTGGCTTTGAAAATCTCATCCAGCTCTTCCTTTTTACAGATCAGAGTTTAAGGCCATAAGGGGCCATTCTGATCATCAAGTCTGACTTCTGGCATAACACAAACTGCAGAGTCTAACCCAACAATTCCTGCATCCAACCAATACCTTCTGATTGAGCCAGATATCTTTTAGGAAGAGACACCTGATCTCGATATAAAGACTCCAGCTGATCCACCACAGGCCTCATTACATTGTTCATCCAATGGCTAATAGTTCGTGTGTGCTTTAATAAAAGGATTAAATGCATTTTGTGATGGTCGTTACAATGGGTGTCTCCAGTCAATTTAAGCAAACCACAATTAACCATTTAATGCTGTAACAGTAATACCAGGGTTCTATTAACCCCTTCAAGCCAATGCCAATATGACACAAACCCCACTCCTAGCGATGCAGAATCTTTAGAGTTACAAGCACAGTTTATGGGGTTTGTAAACTCTTCTAGTTGAACCTGTAGGATTCAAGTAACTTGGGGAAGTATGTCTTTACATACTATTTTTCTTAAAATAATAATAAAAAAACCCAAGAAATTCCCATTTAAAACTTTGTTACAGTAGTTACTCTTGTGAATATGGTCCACTAATTGAAAACATAATGGTCAGAACTTTTGTTTGTTCTAGTCAAGAAAGTTAGTTAAGGCATAGAAAACAGCTCTGGCCCTGCAACGCAGCATCATCAACCCAAAGCATTCAAAAATTACAAGTCAGGCCCCTTGCCCCCTCAAAAACTTAGGAGATTTGAAACAATACATTTGTGGTTCTTTTTTTTTCTTTGACTTCTGGTTTCTGAGCCCTCGAGAGTAATATTTTTGGGGTTTTCTCCACAACCATAAGGATTAGAAACTCACTTTTTTCTTTCTTCCCCCTCCCCTCAACTTTAAGTGAAAGTAGAGATTCTTGTGCAACAAACACAGGACTCTGTGAGCTGGGGCTTTATAAGAGAAACACCAAATATCAATAGAGCTGGTGACTCCGGGCAATGAGATCTCATGGGGGTTTCTTTTCTGCCTCCTCTGCAGTCAATAAACTGAGGGGGGCAGCTATGGCCCTGGGGCCGTGCCAAGCACTGTGGCTAGTAGATGGGTGCATCCTTGCCCTGGTGGGTCCTCCGGTGACGGGTGAGCGTGGAGCTCTCCCCGAAGCTCTTCCCACACTGGGTACACTGGAAGGGCCTGTCGCCCGTGTGGGTGCGGTGGTGCCGCAGCAGGTCCGAGCTCTCGCCGAAGCGCTTCCCACACTCTGTGCACTTGTAGGGCCGCTCACCTGTGTGTAGGGTGCGGTGTTTCACCAGGTATGAGCTGAGGCTGAAGCTCTTGCCGCAGTCAACACAGCGGTAGGGCTTCTCAGCCGTGTGGGTACGCTGGTGCCGCACGAAGGTGGAGCTGTCGATGAAGCCCTTCCCACAGGCTGGGCACTTGTAGGGGCGCTCGCCACGGTGGATGCGGTTGTGGGTGATGAGGTAGGAGCTGACGCTGAAGCTCTTGCCACAGTCGGGGCAGGTGTAGGGCTTCTCGCCGGTGTGGGTGCGCTGGTGGATGATGAAGGTGGAGTTCTGGCTGAAGCTCCTTCCGCAGTCCAGGCACTTGTAGGGCGTCTCCCCAGTGTGCAGCCGATGGTGGGTCAGCAGCGTGGAGCTCTGGCTGAAGCTCCTCCCGCAGTCGGGGCAGGTGTAGGGCTTCTCACCTGTGTGGGTGCGCTGGTGGCTGATCAGTGTGGAGCTCTGGCTGAAGCGGCGCCCGCACTCAGAGCACTGGTAGGGCTTCTCGCCTGTGTGGATGCGCTGATGGATGACGAGGTGCGAGCGCCGGGAAAAGTGTTTCCCGCATTCGGCACAGCTGTTCTGCTTCCCACCCACCTGCAGGGCCTGCTGGGCATCTCCAAGCTCCTGGTAGCTCCCCTCCCAGGGATTGGGCACAGCCAGTCTCTCCACTTGCTGCTCTTCTGACCTGTCCTTACTCTCACAGACCTCTCCCTCATCAGGGCTCTGGGAAACGTTCCCTTCATATCCTCCTGCTACCAACCTGTGATGTTCCACTGGCTTGGGACTTTCCTGCTGAAGGTTCTCCTCCTCGTTCTCACTCACCATCCCGTTGCCTGCTGGGACAGAGAGAGAGAATCCAGACTGGAGTCAGTCCCTGTGCCAGAGGGAAGGAACCTCAGAAAGACGAACAGGGGAGTAGGGAAAACAAATCAAAATAACTGATGGGGAGACTGAAAAACCAGGAACTAAATCCCCCACGCCCTTCCCTCAAGGTGAGGGAAGAGGGAGTCAATTGGCTTCACATCCCACCCGAACACTCAGAGGGGAGGGAGCTGGGTGGATGGGAATGCTGATTTTCAGTAAGTCTTGGAGCACTGGGGAAGTTCCAGAAGACGGGAAGAAAGATAATGGTAGTAGTGTTGATGTAATATACTTAGACTTCTGTAAGGTGTTTGACTTGATACCACTCAACATTTTGGATTAAAAAACTAGAATAGTATAAAATTAACGTGGCACACACACTAAATTGATTAAAAAAATCTAGCTAACTGATAGGTCTCAAAATGTAATTGTAAACAGGGAATCCTCATCAAGCAGCTGTGTTTCCAGTGGGGTCCCACAGGGATCAGTTCTTGGGCCTGCACTATTTAACATTTTTATGAATGACCTGTTCTGGTGCCCTCAATTCAAGAAGGATGTAGATAAATAGGAGAGGGGTAAGAGAACAGTCACAAGAATGGGGGATAAAGAATTAGAAAACCTGACTTATAATGACAAGCTAAATAGACTGAGCTCCTTGAGTCTAACAAAGGGAAGGTGAAGGGGTGACTTGATCGAAGTCTATAATTACCTACATGGGGAGCAAATGTTTAATAATGAGCTCTTCAGTCTAGCAGAGAAAGGTCTAACACGATCCAGTGTCTGGATGTTGAAGCTAGACAAATTAAGACAGGAAATAAAGCACACATTTTTACTGGTGACAGTAATTAACCATTGGAACAACTTACCAAGGGCTGTGGTGGATTCTCTAGCACTGACAATGTTTAAATCAGGATTGGATGTTTTTTTCTAATAGACCTGCTCTAGGAACTATATGGGGGCAGTTCTCTAGCCTGTGTTATACAAGAGGTCAGACTAGATGATCACAGTGGTCCCTTCTCGCCTTGGAATCTATGTAGCTAAGAGAAGCGATGTCTGCCATGAGGATCCAACCCCTGCTGGGGACAGCCCTGACCTGGATGAGATGAGATAGAACCTGGGGAGTTCACAGGGCTGTGGTGGAAATCTCTCACCTGTGCTAGCATCACTTGGGATCTCCTCTTCTGAGGAGACATGGAGATCCAGGATGTATGGCTCTTCCTCTTGCTCCATCCAAGGGATCCTCGGAGATTTAGGAAACTGAAACCCTGTTCATGGGAAGGGCAATGGGTGAAGGTTCATTACATATTTCTGAGGAGTCACTCCAAAAAAGTTCCTTGAAATGTAACCCATTCCTCTCTCATCACTGTGCAGATGAGGAATGTTTCATCCCAAAACATGGACAAATGTTTACCAAGACCATAGCAAGAGTCACACCTGGGGTGTTGGTGCTATCAGACACAATTCCAGTAGGGAACAAAAGTGCAAAGACAAAGAAGAAATAACAACCTAATAAGTTATCATAACCTGAGTCACGCTCTGGACAAAGCTATCCAGCTTGGGGCTGATGTGGTCCCATCACTGTTGCATCTGAGTGCCTCATACTCTGGCTAGGTCTTCTGGCCCTGAAGTCTGGAGTATGGGGCTGTGAACTGGAGCGCTGGAGACGAGCAGTTTTAATAAACTGGTCACTTCATGTACGTGACTAAATGGGAGCTGAAAATACTGTGGCGTGCCCACAGACACGCTTGGCCAGGAGAGAACCCAGATTTCCTAAGACCCACTCCACAGGCTATTTTTGTCTCCTCTCATGTGCTCAGATCTGATGAGCCAGTATCTCTTTAAAATAATTAGTCATGCCTCAAAGAGCACCGAGCACCAGTGATTTAGGCCCAGCACTAAGTACTAAGAGTGACTTGAAGTATTCGTCAACTTTATAATGAACTCTCTGACCACTTAAGTTGTTGAAAATAATCGCCCTTGGATACCTGGCATATTCTGAGTAATTTATTCTGTTTCTGTAATTACCTGCTGAATATGCCATAAAAAGATCTAACTGGAAAGATGTCACCTGCACAGAAATGCATTTGAATCATCAAATTAGATTAATAAATTCATAGATTTTAAGGCCAGAAGGAAACGTCATAACCATCTGGTGTGCCCTGCACAATGAGAATACTATCCACTGATTCCTGCATCAGGCTGGTATCTTCTGGCTAAGCTCTAGTTTTTCGATAGATCCCCCCCCAGTCCTGAAGGAAAGACGCCATGTGATGGAGAAGCCACCACATCCCTAGTTTCAAGGGTTAATTTCCCTCACTATTAAATACATGCACCTCATTTCAGGTTCAGATTCCAGGCACTGGCTCTTGTTATATCCGTATTGGTTAAATTAAAAAGCCCACAAAGTACTGTACCTGCATGGAATGAAGGGGTCTGAATGTAGCTGGGACAGGGTCTGTCATTTACTGCAAGTTTGCTCAAAACTGTTGGTCCCTGGTCTGGCTCTAGGTGCTACCCCAATACAAAATAAATGACGTGTGTTCTCCCTGGGCTTTCTTTTAAACACTGACCTAGGGTAACTGGGGACAGGACTACAAAGAGATTTTCTATAATGCCTGAAAACTGGAACACAAAATAGTGCCAGACTAAGGTCAAAGAAGCCAAAAACTTAGGGGTAATGGGTCAGGGCCTAGCAGATCTCATCCCTTCGAAGTTACAGCTGATTTTCAGTCTCACTCCCTTTCAAAATTTCATCCCTTTCTTCTCCAGTCCACCCCGGTTACACCAGAGTTAACTAATGCTCAGAGTTTCTGGAGCTTTGTCTATGCTAACAGCTTCCAGAAAAAAACAGCGAGAGAGTGAGTGAGAAAGTGTCTGTGTCATTTCCTAATGTAGGATTTGGCACTTATGTTCCCAAGTTGTCTGGACATTTGGCAAACCCGACTCCTGTCCCCAGCTTTAGTTTCTGTCTCCCCAACCACCCCTCCGGCAGGGAGACTGGGGGGCCATATTTCCAAGAGCTGACCACCCACAATTGGAGCCAGATTCTCCAAACCGCTGGACTCCCACTGTGAACCCAACGCGCTGAGTTCTGAAAACTCTTCCCGGGAGACTCCGTCCCTGACCCAGTGCCGGGGCGGTCGCTCTCCCGGCGCTGGCTCGGCTCCTGCAGGCGCTCAGGGGAGCAGAGCCGGGGGAGAGGGAGCAGCAGCAGCTCTGGGACTCGCAGACCCCCGCCCCCCCCGGGAGCAGAGCTGGGGCGAGGAGGGGCCGTTGGTGCAGAGTCACTTTCCTCCCCGGCCCCGCCCCTTTCCCCGGGTCTCTCCCCTCACCTGCAGGCTCCGGCTCAGGGGCTGGTGGCGGCAGAGCCCGGGGCTGGTTCCAGCCCCCGGAGAAAGTCCCCCCGGCTGGGCCCAGAGAGACCTTAGGGAAGGACTCTCACCGCACACACCCCACTTAGGAGCAGCAGCTGTTTGTTACCGATTCTGCAACGTCTCTGACCTAGGAAGCTCAGCCCTCAATATCCGGAAAAAGAAGAGGCAGATCAGCAGGTCATGGAGAGACTGGCCGCCCGCCTGTGTCCATGGCCAGGGCCCTCTGGTGGTCACAGCTGATGGACTCTCCTCCCCAACCCTCGGCCCGTGCTCCTCTTGGGACAGAAAGGGGGCTGGGGTATCGGCCCGGATCCTTCCCTCCTTTCTGAGCAGAGAGAAACCTCCAGACCGAGACCACAGAGAAACCTGCCCCTGCTGTCAGCCAGGGCTCCGGGCAGCCCCTTGGCCAGGTGCCCACTAGCCATGCTGGAGCTATTTACCCTATTTCCAGCTCCAGATGTTCAAAAATCATGAGTCAGGAACACCAAAAACCATGAGATTTGCTAACAATAACAGCTTTGGGCTTCTTTTTATTTGCCTTCTGTTTTCTGAGCCTTTAGGGTGTGCTGGGGTGACATTTTGAAGCTTCCTCCACAGCCGGGAGGGCTAGAAACTTACTTTTTCTTTAAGAATGAATGCTGAAATCATTATCACCTCACTCCAGGAACTGGGCTTTAAGGAAAACAATAATTATCACGAGACTCATGGCAAAACCATGAGAGTTGGCGATGCTGCATTTATTTTGGGGACCCTCTGAGACAATCCCAAGTCCCTCAGAATCTCAGTCCCACCCACAGTCTCCAGAAGTCTCATTATTTTTATTGATATTATTGGTGTGAGAGCACCTGGAGGCCCCGGTGTGCTCAGAGCCACACACACAAAAAGATTGTGTCTGCCCCAAAGAACTTACCCAATCTAACTATAAGACTAGACACAACAGAATAATACAGACAGACAATGGAGGAGCACAAGGGAACAATAAGCCCATTCTGATCAGTGTGATAAACAGCAACTACTAGCCATTGTTAGCACCCCTGCTGAGGTGACTTTTAGCAGATGTTAGGGGAGCTGCTCCCCATACTGGGGTGACATGGCAGGAAGCAGGGAGGTGCCAGTGGGGTCGGACAATAGAATACGTGGGTGAGGAAGGCTGGTGTTACTGGCAGATCAGATGCTGGGCTTGACATTGCAATAGTGTGGGAGGGTGATACATCAGCCACGGAAGAGCCTTGCAATGAGTGGATTGTGTGTGACGCAGTGGAGAAGGGGAGACAGCCAGGAGCTTGGAGAGAGGGGTGATGGGGTCACAGGAAAATGATCTTTGCAGCAGCAGCGTTCTGGACAGATGTAGGTGGGGTAAGAAGATGGGATCGGTCCCAGCAAGGGAGGAGGATGCTCAGTGATTAAGATGTGAGATGAAGGCCTGGATGAGAGGTTTAGCTGTGATGGAGGAATGGAGGAGAGCTGGGTTGACCATAGAGAAGTGATGCAGGAAGCAGATTGAGACATGCCAGGATGGGGCCACCAGCCATGTCGAAACAACACACACTCTGCTGGCCTGCATGACAGGGATGGTGGTTCCCTACCACCAACAGTGTATAGCAGACTGACTTGCCCCTTTAAAGGTTTGCCTGGGCCCAGCCGACCCTGGTTACTAAGAAGGCACAGCTGAGCAGGAATCAACTTATTCCTCCATCAAGAGCAGCAGGAAGCTGCAGGGAGAGCACAGTCTCAGGGAGAACAGAGTGTAACAAAGAGGCAGTTGGGGGTGAATCTGCTCCAGCAGGGAGACCTGGGACTTCAGGTAGAAAAGGCCTGAGCATGACCTGATAGAAGGATAAATGGATGGGCTTGGGAGGAGCTTGAGAATGTTATCTTGCCAGTTTGTTATTTTAATAAAACCAGAATTTGACACCGGCTGTTAATGGACAACAGCCTGTGTGAATCATTGAAGAAGCTCCTTGAAGGGGGAAACTGAGGCAAGGGGCTGCTTGCAGAGCTTCCCTGAGGCCATGAGTGGGTGTGTGGCAGTCAGCCCCTGCTGACTGGGAAAAGGGGCTCCATTCTGGGAGAGAGTTGGTGAATCCTATTTGACAGAGTACTCTGCTGGAGGGTGCAGTAGTCTGCACAGCTACAGACTAGGGACCGAATGGCTAGGCAGCAGTTCTGCGGAAAAGGACCTAGGGGTGACAGTGGACGAGAAGCTGGATATGAGTCAGCAGTGTGCCCTTGTTGCCAAGAAGGCCAATGGCATTTTGGGATGTATAAGTAGGGGCATAGCGAGCAGATCGAGGGACGTGATCGTTCCCCTCTATTCGACATTGGTGAGGCCTCATCTGGAGTACTGTGTCCAGTTTTGGGCCCCACACTTCAAGAAGGATGTGGATAAATTGGAGAGAGTCCAGCGAAGGGCAACAAAAATGATTAGGGGTCTGGAACACATGACTTATGAGGAGAGGCTGAGGGAGCTGGGATTGTTTAGCCTGCAGAAGAGAAGAATGAGGGGGGATTTGATAGCTGCTTTCAACTACCTGAAAGGGGGTTCCAAAGAGGATGGCTCTAGACTGTTCTCAATGGTAGCAGATGACAGAACGAGGAATAATGGTCTCAAGTTGCAGTGGGGAGGTTTAGATTGGATATTAGGAAAAACTTTTTCACTAAGAGGGTGGTGAAACACTGGAATGCGTTACCTAGGGAGGTGGTAGAATCTCCTTCCTTAGAGGTTTTTAAGGTCAGGCTTGACAAAGCCCTGGCTGGGATGATTTAACTGGGAATTGGTCCTGCTTCGAGCAGGGGGTTGGACTAGATGACCTTCTGGGGTCCCTTCCAACCCTGATATTCTATGATTCTATGAGCGGAACTGGAGGACAGTCAGGTTTCTGGGGGACCTAATCTGGATGACATTGAGGCTCGGCTTTGCCAGCTAGGGGGCTGGCTGCTGCTGGACAAAGCTTACCTAAGGTGTGGAAAAGTTCATAACCCTTCTGTCCGTGTGAATACAGCCAGCAGACATATGCAGTGTAGTTGTAGCTGTGTGAGACCCAGGATATTAGAGGCAAGGAGGGTGAGGTAGTATCTGTTATTGGCCCAACTTCTGTTGGTGTGAGAGACAAGCCTCCAGGCTGCACAGAGCTCTTCGTCAGGTCCTGATGAAAAGCTCTGTGTATGCTCAAAAGCTTGTCTCTCTCCCCAACAGAAGTTGGGCCAATAACAGATTTAAGAATTTTATTAAGATGATGTTAATGTAAGCAGAGTCAGGATGAATTCCACCCTGACATCTGGTGGTGAGGTGTGGCAAGTTGTGGAAAAGAACTTCAGGGGCTGATCTCATTTGCATAGGCACACCCACCCCGCCTAGAATGAGGCCATAACTGCCCAAATGGTCACTTTGGCTGTTGTGGGATCCCCAGTGTCTCTGTTATTGGGGCGGGAAGAATAAATTGTTATTACCCTGATTATGGGAACTGTGGTTGGAACTGTACTTGGCCTTTTGTTATGATGGAGGGACTCACCATCAACTAAGTAGCACTCGCTAGGCAAGGGACATGGGTTCCAAAACTCTGTGAATTGGGAGAGGCTTGAGACAGGTATTTGTACCTGGTGATGTGGGCCTGAAACACCAATTGCACCTCTGTCTCTCTCCACTGTAGAATGTCAGAGCTAATTTGGGGTCTATTAAGAGTCTTGCTACAGATACTGTGTTGAATTCACTTTGGCCTTATAGTACACCAGCACTAAGGCTCCCACTACTATGAGCTGAAATCACTGAGTGCTGGAATCACTGTGTCAAATAGTGGGGAGCTGGAAGAACTAGAGTGCAGTGGTGCTGTTTGTGGATAGGCTGGCGGAGTGTTTGTGAGATGGTGAGCTGTGCAGAGCGGAGCCGGTCGTGAGACAGCGGAGTAGAGCAGAGCCCTGTGGGGCAGTCAGCTTCAGGATACGTAAGGCACCCCTTACCTCTTCCCCACCCCCCACAGGCACATTTTAGCCAGACTGGGGAGTAACACTCTGCAGATGAACTTTTGAACTCTGGGGCTGGACTTTTTGAACTTTGGGTGATTTGTGGATTGCTGGACTCAAGAGACGTTTGGGTTCTGGGACTCAAGAACCCGAGGGAAAGGATGTGGCCCAATTTGCTGGGGTGGGTCTTTGCTCATGGTTTGGTTAATGAACACTAGTTGTGGTGTTTCCCCAATTTAATGTTGATGTCGTTTACCTCATGTTATTAAAGATTTTCTGCTACACTGAGACTCTGTGCTTGCGAGAGGGGAAGTATTGCCTCTTTGCGGCGCCCAGGGGGTGTATAAGATTTTTCCCAGGTCACTGGATGGGGGCTCGAGCCAGTTTTGCATTTGCTTTGATGAGAGGGAACCCCTGTGTACTGTACCCGGCCCTTGCTGCTATCAACTTGGCCTGGCAGAAGGGTTACATTAAAATAAAAAGAAAATGGTACAGAGTTTAAGCATAAAAGTTTCTGGTTATCAGGGAATAACGTACAGATTATCAAGGGGTGCGAAGTTTAGGATCAGATGGCATAAGGAGTACATAATCTGCAATATCCCCAATTGGGGGTATATTACCCCCCTCCCCTCCCCGTGTCTCTCTAAAGCCAGGACAAACATTTCCTCGAATGGTGACAGCAGGAATATAACATGGCTGATGCTTGGAGCTGGTAGAATTTTTTAAAACAAAAACACTTAGTCCTTCAAAGGCTTTTTAAAAATCCCCAGTTAGGTATTTCCAGCAGTTTTTAAAAGTTTTTCTATGGCAGTTTTCGAAAAAGAAATTAGCCTTTTGGTTTTGAACAATGAATGAATGAACTCTCCTGTTCGCCGCCTTCCTTCCAGCATGGCCTGATGCCCTCAGTGGCACACACCAGCTCTCCAATCGGGCTCCCCTGCAAAGCCAGATGTGCGTCAGGGATGCAGGGAGCCCCAAGAACTTGCCAGATCTCCGTGTAGTGATGGCACTCATTTAGCAATCTTGGGGCAGGGCTGGGGTCAGTCTCCACTGCAGCGAGGGAGACACACAGCCAATGCTAGCAGCCAGCAGCCTGGTTCACAGCGGGCTGAGGGGGCTGTTGCAGAGTCCTAGCGCAACATCATATTGCATGGCCCTGGGAAGATAACTGGTCTGGCCCCAGAGGGTGGAGGTCTACAATGGGGAGCTGGCCTGGTTCATGGAGATTCAGGCCAAGCCCAGGAGGGTGCCATTTCAGGCATTGCCTCCCCAACTGTGAATCTGGGGGTGGGGGGCTTAGCTGTTTGGCTTTTAAGTCTTTATGGGGAAGCCAGACACCTCCAAGCGTGTGTGAGCATCTCAGGGTCAAAGTTAAATCTGCAATGCACATGCTGGCTGCTTGCAGGGGCTCTCCCCTAACCCCTGGGGTGGGGAATCTGCAATTTTACCCTTCTCCACCACCACCATTGTCACTGTTCTGGTTCCCTCTGTACCCACAACCCTGCACAGCACTGTGGGCACTCCAGGAGATTCCCCCTCCCACCAGGGCACTGCCCGAGGAGGCATTGGGCTGAATTTGGTTCCATATTCTGAGGCCTCATCTACATGACAAAGTTAGGTCACCATAAGTTGCCCTGCATCCACCTTTGTGTACATGTGTCTACACTCAAATTTGTATCGGGCTGACATAAGTGCCCCAATATAGCAATGCAGTCAAACCCGCCCCCCTGCCAAATGGCATCAAGCCATGGTCGACCTGCTGAAGTTCACACAGTGCATGTGTAGACATTGTGTTAGTGAGGCTAAAACCTCCTGAGACCCACCAGCCGCATCTCCATGAGGTTAACAAACCAGACAGGCTCAGCCACCCGAATCTGCTGACATTGCTGACTCAGGCAGTATTAGAGGGCTTATTCTTTCACCCACTCACTTCCCTGGTCCTTCTCACATGAACAGAGAGCAACAATACCTGAGGTCCAAAGGTGCAAACAATTCGATGTTTATTGGGGTGAACTTCCAGCAAGCAATGATTCCAATTTCCTTCCTTAGTGTCCCCCTTCCCAGCTCTGACACCACAGAGCCTTGCCTGTGTCCCTGTTCCCATTCCCTGTTCCATTCCCTCCTTAGCAAAACATAATTCCAATTCCCCCACCCCCATTCCCTGTTCCCATTACCCCCCCTTACTTCCTGATTGACTGCAGACTATATAGTAAAACTTGAGTTCTGCTTAGCTATACCTTAACCTGTCATGTTACTGAAATTTAACTAACCAATCCTAACATATTGTAACATGTTTCAGAGTAGCAGCTGTGTTAGTCTGTATCCGCAAAAAGAAAAGGAGTACTTGTGGCACCTTAGAGACTAACAAATTTATTTGAGCATAAGCCTTCATGAGCTACAGCTCATTTCATCGGATGCATTATCTAACCAATTATATCCCACCACCTTAATTAGTTTGCACCCAGCAAAATTAATTATGCAGCAGACAGAAACAATCACAGAACCAGACAGAGATTATACAGACAAACAATAGGGAAATGGGGACTACAGTGATAGAACAAACACAGAAATGAGGATTTCACATTCCAGCTATTGATAAGTGAGTTCTTGCCAGACAGGATGCTATCAAACTAAGTTTCCTTTTACATCTTCTAGGCTCTTCCCTTTCTCTGGAGGTGATAGGCATTATCAGGACAGGACTGTATTCCTAACAGCCCAATAGCATCTTATTTCAGTGTGACTGGTGAGGATGTGACCGTTCGCTTCCCAGTTTATGGCTGCTTCTGCTGTTTAGCCAAAGGCCTTAGCCTAAGAACAGGGCCTCAGACTGTCACAGTAAGAGAAGGCCCTTACACCAGCAGACAGTGATTTTGATTCTTTCTTTTATACCTCTATAACTAGCTAAGTGATAAAAATACACCAAAATTCTTGAAGTATAGGCCTTTGCAGACAGGCCTGAATATGGTGTGGTGTTCACGCCCCATTGAGGTGAATGGGGAGGTCACAGCTCTGACTGCAGAGCTCACTGCCCACTGGGAACCCCCCAAAAGCAGCTAGGTAGCCTGGGTGCCTGGGACCTGGACAGCCTGGGCTGGGACAGAGAGAAGTCACCATGTGTGACCCAGGGACCCTTTGGTAACAACTGACAGAGAGCACTGGGGGTGCACAGGGATTACAGGGAGCCTTGGTTTGGATATACGTATAAATAGTTCACCAAAAGCTGTACCCACTAGTCAACATAATTACTGTGAGATATATGTACAGCTAATATGTAAGACATTACGGATCTAGACTGACAATTATACTTTTGAGTTCTTGGTGTTAAGGCAGGTGACAGACCTAGTGCATGTTCCAAGGCAGGAGGTAACACATACCTGTCTCCCAGGGGTGGCCCATCCATATAGGCAAACTATGTGGTCACCTAGGGTGCCAAGTTAAATGGGGCTCCAAATTCAAGGAAAAAAAAATCAAATAAAAAAATAATAAAATGGAAAAAAAATGAAAAAGATGAAAAAAATACAAATAAAATAACGAAGATGTCATTATTTCAATTCCCGTGCATGTATGGAGGGAATATGAATTATAAATCATTTCCCTGCATTTCTGAGAATTTATTAATATGTCAAATCTTTTATTTACTGCAAAAATAAATAATATTTTAGCGAATTTTTTTGTCAATTTGCAACACAGGGTCAAGATAACCCACTCTGCAATTCTGATAAGCAATAACTCAGCCACAATGAAACACATCCGCCAGTGGCAAGAGCTGCAATGCTAGTGACACCTAACTCGAATATACATGTTGTCAAGGTTCCTTCCCCACTCTGAACTCTAGGGTACAGATGTGGGGACCTGCATGAAAACCTCCTAAGCTTACTTTTACCAGCTTAGGTTAAAACTTCCCCAAGGTACAAAGTATTTTACCTTTTGCCCTTGGACTTTCGCTGTCACCACCAAACGTCTAACTGGGTTTATTATTGGGAAAGAGTCGTTTGGAAACATCTTTCCCACCAAAATCCTCACCAAAACCTTGCACCCCCCTTCCTGGGGAAGGTTTGATAAAAATCCTC